GGGGGGGGCATCAGAAACTTATTAGCATTTGTGTCACCTTTTATTGACCCATATGTATGACGAGAAAGTTGGTTGATATTTCTGTCCTTGCATTTCACTGACCTTATGCAGTGTTGGCAAACAGTGAGCATGATCATAGAGTATGCAGTTGAAGGATCCATACACTCCATCGTTGACATAGTACATCAGAGTCCTGTCACTGGTCCCTTCATCTTCATCTGCAGGAAAGAAAAAGCACAAGTTTTTAATACTGAGCAATGTTATAGATCTACTTTCAGAATCAGCATGGACACGTTTCTGAATCAAGGCTGTTACCATCAGAGGCTGACTCCTCATCCATGATGACTTTCTTGGCAATGATGTTCACAACCAGTGTGTAAGCAGAGGCCACATAGAAGCGTCCTGGCTCAGCAATTATCTTAACACCAGTGTCAGCAGGGAAATACTTATCGAGAGCAGGGTTGATTACTGCTGTGATCTAGAATGAAACAAAAATAGTGTCCAGAGGTAAATATCAGACCAAACACTCACATTAGTACTAGTAATTGCCCAGCTGAACAAGGAATATACAGTGAAGTTTCATTTAACACAAAGTCCAAAGCAAGGAATAATGTGCTAAGCCCATGACACCTTACTTAAAGGGAAAAAAGAAAGGTACCTCTTCAAATTTAAGTTCAGTATCATCTGAACCAGGGAAACCACCGCCGATGTCCAACAGATCCATGTTAAAGCCCAGCTCATCCTAGAGGTCACAACATCAAGTTTCAGTTTACTTTGCTGAGTCAACAACATCATCAAAATCACAGCTGCATTTTTATTTTAGCCACAACTCACCCCCATGTCAAAGACACAGCGAGCATCTGCGATAGCCTGGGTGTAGGTCTCCGGATCAGTGCAGCCACTGCCAACATGGAAGCTGACACCGATTACATCCAACCCCAGTTCCTTAGCTCGCTCCAGAAGACCTCGACAAGCTTTGAGTGGGGCTCCAAACTTCACACTCAGACGACACACTGCCTTCGAGTCATCTGTGGCAATACGCAGCACGAGCCTAAACACAAAATAGAAACAATGAAACCAAACAAGTAAAAAGGCAAATTAAAAAAAAAAAAATCTATATATAAATAAAACCAAACCCCTCAATCATTAACAACAGATGGTATAAAGTCTTACTTGGCATTTTCATGGCAGCGGGCCACTTTCAGGAGTTCCACCTCACTATCAAAGGTCATCATCTGGACCCCATGGGCGGATGCATACTTGATCTGAGAAACTTGCTTGCAGGGGTTGGCATAGATGATTCTGCTTGGATCAACTCCCAGAGACTGAACCAGCTGAATTTCCGTCTAGAGGGTAACAATACCAGCAGTCAGCAAAAAAAAAAGTGCCAATTTAATGAGCTGCCAATGCAATTTCAGCTAATCTTTAAGAGAGCTTTGTATTGTGTTACTCTGACAACTATGGAAATATTCCAAAGCGCACCTTGCTTGCACAGTCAAAGCCAGCTCCCAGAGATGCCAATGTCATGACCACAGCCCGGCTGTCGTTGCATTTGACGGCATAGAAAGGAGTAATGCGAGGCAGGGCCCTTGCCCAGCGCAGGTGTTTCTTCAGCACATCTCCCAAGTCACAGACATAGAAGGCATCCCTGTCATCCTACAATGGAGTGAATGAAAAAAAAAAAACAGTCTTGTAAATAAAGCACAAGCATCTGTCATTACATCATAGGCTGCAACAATCGCCTGCATTATGTATGTAATACTAGCGGAACAGTGTATTTCTAATAGTGCCTATCATTTGAAACAACAAGAACTTAAGTGTTAATGAAGTAGAAAGGAAAATCAGACAATGCAGTACCATGAAACCTGACCAAGCGTATAGGATTTCAGTTTAACGGTGTGCTTACAGTTGCATCCTGTTGACATTCATCACGGAACAAATGAGGCCATCTGTGTAACCCTTAAACAATGCCAGCACAGGATGCTTACCGTCATGGATGACTCATTGATCTTCTGCTCGACAATATCCCGAGCAGAGAAACCCTCCTCAAGGAATGAGAATTCAAACTCAGTGGGTGTGAAGGTGTTCATGGTCACAAGAAGTCCTTTTGATTGGTCACTAGTAAACTGGAATAGAAAAGAGGAGGGGAGAGGGGTTGAATAAAGTGAATGAACGCTTTTGTTACAGTATTTTCTGTAAGTCATGTCAAGATGACTAAGCAGTAACGAATCAAACAAAACAGTTTGTCACTTACTTGGATATGAAAGAGATGGAATTTGGAGTAGCTGTTACTCAGGTGCAGAGAAGCCAAGGAGGCTCACCAGTGAAGTTGAACCCCTTTAAATAAGACTCAAGGCCAGGGCCTGCTGAGTAGCCAGTGTGTGATTTCTTAGAGTGAAGATTCTGTGGACAAAAGAAGTAAATTGCATGTTAACATAAGGCATTTTATCAGAAAGACTATGTGTAGTATAGATAGATAAATTGTGCTGAACTATAAATTCGGAATGATACGTTTAAAAATTCAACAAAAAGTTAGGGATTAATCTAAAGTCTATGTAAACTCGTCGAGGCTCAGGGCACGCCCAACACATACACATATCAATCGCCATATATCCGCATTTCTCCTGTCTTGAACAGCGCTCCATTTTATAACTGTCATGACAATTTGACACCAGCTGCACGGGGGGAAAAAAAGTCATTCAAAGAACTCCGCGTTAAGCCCCGCCCAGTCGTGACTTAATCCAATCATAATAAAGAACCGCCTTTAACTTTAAAGGCTAGTCTGAAAACCAACCAATCAGAAGCTAACGAATAATGCCGACGTCAGTTTACCGGTTCCGCTTCGGGCTCCCCATGCCATGAGGCGACTTGGCATGTCGACTGGACGTTAACACGGTATATTAAAATGAACACGGTTTCAGTTTTAGAAACCTGTTCTGCACAACACAACCAGGTTTATGAGCCCCAAAAATAAATAAATAAGTAAATAAAAAAACAACCCCCCCCCAAAAAAACCTACCATCACAGTCTAGCGTTTTGCCGGTTAGCTAGAGAGGTTAACACATATAAGGTAATAATAGCTAGGTAACTAACCGTCTGTCTCACCGGCCACGTAGTAATGTTTGGTAACACTCCGGAGTCGTTCAGCTTAGAATTAAACTAACTGTGAAATAGCTACACGGCCTCACTTAAGTCTCCTTTTCTTTGTTCATTTTAAAGCCGCCATAACTGAACCACCATGCTAGCTGAAAAGCGTTTGAGCTAAAATGCAGTAATTAATCGTCGTAAAGTCCTCGCTTACCTTAAAAAGCATTTACAAAGACTTTGTCCATTAGACCCGAAAGCTGGGATTAAAAAAAAAAGTTAAGCAGTTCCCCTTCACAGTGAAGCCCGCTGCTGGAGATGTAGCTCTCTATACCGCGGCTGGGACCGGAGTGGAAGCCGGTAAAGGAGCCACGACGGTATTTATAGCGCGCCGGTTGCCACGGCAACGCAGCCAGCTGAAACCGGCCTCCCATCCACGTAGGAACCGGTTTAGGCTTGTCACCTCATCCACATGGTGGGAAAGACAGACAGGGACCGCTACGCAGCCACCGCACATGAGATTACAAGAGGTAACACGGTTCAGACCAGCCACGTTAAGCCCAAAGTTTGGCTTCTTATTGCGGTGTTGACATTATTAGACACCAGTTAGCTCGTTAGCACCCACAGCTGTGTCTGGCCAGGCTGGACTTGGAATGTGTAAACTTGATCTGTCACATTTTTTGATGAGGAAACAAAAAGACACTGTGAATGTGAACCTTTGGTAACATTCAATGCATTTAGATTATATGCTTTTTCCACCAGATTTCCAAGAAGAATATATCCAGAAGGTTGCATGCCTGCATTACTAGCCAGACTGTGTAGAACACTGGAGAACCACTTTATACCAAACATGAAGATATTCAATGGATTTTATTTGATCACAAGATTAGTTTACAAGCAAGCATTTTTTGCTCCCATGTCATCAGATATAATGATTTGCTGCTTTTCTTTGTAAACAGAAAAAAAAGAATCCAGCACAGCCTGATTCATTCTTATCTTATTCTCATCTCAACTGACAACGAGACGAGAATGATGATAAGAACTGTTCAGCACGGCCAGCTGTGATGGATGAAACCGGCGCCTCGTTTGTGTTTAATCCCAGAGATGCTCACTGCAGCAGCCTGTTGGCTCTGATTGACAGTGCAGCAGCTGTGATGTGACCCGGTTTGACAGCAGTCTGCTCAGTCTCGCTCTGACTTTCTGACCCGTCTGATGAGATTAAAGGCGATCCCAGGATGACTCCGACATGGCAAAGGTGTCAACGTAGACACATATGTCACAACAGCTCTGTGAAGTTTTGCAGACATATCCGATTACATATTCGATGAGGACTTGGCACATTTAGCATCTAAAATAATATTCAAATTTGTACAGAAAGTGATTTCCAAGAATAAAAATGAGGAGCCACTGAAATGAGCGTGCACCCTAATGGAGCTTTTACTTGTAAGCAGTAAAATGCTTTGTGACCCAGACCCCAGACGTTTCCCTCTTACTGCACAGCCAGTCTAATCAGTCCAAAGGTTGCTTTCATAGGCATTTGGTTTGCAAGCAGACATTACCAAATGGAGGAAAATGAAGAATTTGGTTAGTGTGACCCAACAGTACATGTGGAAATGTTGCACAGGCATCAGTTCCAGTATACTAAAGGGAAGCTTTAGGGCTTCGTGAAGACCACATATCTGTGGGCGCAACTTAATATCTTTTCCAGGTCTTGAGGCCCCAATCAAGATGGCATTCTACTCTTTTGCACAACAGGGTTTCCATTCAAATTTTCTGCTGGATTGGCGAGTGAAGTCACTTTTTCCGAGCAGTTTAATTATCAAAAAACTAAAAAGCGCAGCCCTTTTTTGAATCGGTCAAAATGTTAAAAAATGAGGTTAAGCGGCAAACTTGACTGATGACATAATCTGCAATCATACGCTACAGTTTCCCCCCCTTATACTCCTGCCCTGAATCTGAACTTTGCAGCAGGCAGGCCTCACCTCCTGTGCAGACCCGTGCCTGTCAGGCAGGATGTGGGCCCACACTTGGGGGCTAATTCATTTTCAGCAGATGTTTATCCACTTGTTCAGAATCACAAGGTCAAAAAAAAAAAAAAAAAAGATACAGGAAAATGTCCCCCTTCACTGCAGCCATTTTGTTTTTGTTTCAGTTTCTTCTACCAAATGTCTGTTTCTACCCTCTCCTTCACCCCTCTCCCTCTCCTCCTCTTGCAATATCCACCTCTCACTCTGTGTGGACTTTCTGTTAGAGTTACTGTGCACCATTGTGGCCTAACCCCCACATTTACAAGGACTTACCGAAGGACAAGGATGATGATTGTTATTGGCCACCCACAAGATACAGTGCAGTGTTAGAGGCCTTGGTGACTGTGTGTGTATCGCTGCATCTGGCTTTGTTATTCTCTTGACTTCTTTGTTAGCACATAGTTGCACAATGAAATGCCACGTCACTTTCACTGTTTCATCCCTTAATGTTCCCGTATTATCCGGCTCAAATGGCGTTAACATGTCTTATCTTGACAATAACTGGTAGTTAAGATGTTTATTTGTATTAACTGAGGATAGTTTGCTTTGTCTGAAGCATCTTTATCCAGTATCTGCAGAATTATTTCTGTTGACTTTGCTGTTCGAATTGTTGCTTGCTGCAATTTGAATAAAAGTGTCTGAATGTAGTGTTGTTTTTTTGGATTGCGAGTTGATTAAGGAGACTTTTCAGTGGAACAGGCCTTTGAGAGAGAAAGAAAGCTTCGCAGATCAACACCACAGCAGCATAGAGAGAAGCACTTAATGGTAGTTATTGATTTTTAAAAAAAGTATTGATGCAGTATATCATGGCGGATCCCTAGTATTACAAAATGCTGTTGGATGACATCCATCCATTATATACACCGCTTAATCCTCACTAGGGT